TTCTCTCTTTCCCTCCTTTAATATTTCCCCTGTAACCCCAAATCTGCATCGGTATCCTCTAGATTTTTACCAATCTGATTCCATTTTTAATTTTTGAGCTCACACTCAGTACGGTTTTCTCTTCTTCCCCACCAAATAAAGGTAGAGAGGTAAGCAAGGCAGAGCGAGAGCCAGCAAAGGCGGGTGAGCAAGGGAAGGAAGGAGGGAGGGAGGGAAGGAGGGAGGGAAGAAAGATTGTAAAATCAATTAAATGAGTTGCTAACGGAGCGTCGTGTCGACAATCTGTCGCCGAGTGGAAAATATGAGCTGCCCAAATACACTCCTGCCTTCCACACCTCCGACGGGCGGCCTTCCCAGCGCCCTTCCATCACGCCTTGGCCGCCTGTCATGGGTCCCAATGAAGGCAGGAGGGGAAATCCAGGCCAAGGGGGTCAAGAGGCAGGTGGAGGGGAGGAAAAGGGGGCAGAGGAAGGGTAAAAAAGAAGAAAGGAGGGAGAGAGGTGTGCTGAGGTGGGCAGGCAGATGGAGGAGTTCAGGAACCAAAAGGATGGACAAGAGATGAACAAAATGATTGAGAAAGGGCAGAAGGTGGAGAAGGCAGAGGGGAGGAATGTGTGCAAGAGGGCAGAAGAAATGGAAGGGGGAGGATGAACAGAAAGGGAAGAAAGAAGGGAAGGAGGAAGAGAGAAGAAAGAGAGGTGTTTTGAGGTGGGCAGACGGATGGAAGAGTTCAGGGTGGATAGAAGAGATTAACAAAAATGACTGTGAAAAGCCAAGAGGTGAAGAGAGGAATGTGCTCAAGGGGGGAGAAGAAAAAGAAAGGGAAGGAGAAAGAATGAGCAGAAAGGAAAGGAAAGGGAAAGCAGAGGGGTTATTTGAGGTGGGCATTTGGATGGAGGAGGTCAGGAACCAAAAGGCTGGACAAGAGATGAACAAATAATTGAGAAAGAGCAAAAGGTGGAGGTGAGGAATGTGTACAAGGAGGCAGAAGAAGAAAAGGATGGGAGGATGAAGAGAAATGAAGGAAAGAAGGGAGGGAGGAAGCAAGAAGAAAAAGAGGTGCCTTGGGGTGGGCAGATGGATAAAATTCAGGATGGATACAAGTAAGAGATTTACAAAATGATTGAAGCAGGGCAAAAGGTGGAGAAAGCAGAGAAGAGGAATGTGTGCAAGGAGGCAGAAGAAGAAAGGGAAGGGAAGGGGGTGAAGAGCAATGAAGGAAAGAGGGGAGAGAGGAAGAGAGAATAAAGAGAGGTGCCTTGTGGTGGGCGGATGGATGGAAGAGTTCAGGATGGATAGAAGTAAGAGATAAACCAAAGGAAAGGCCAAGAGGCAGAGAGGTGGTGGAGAAGAGGAATGTGTGCAAGGAGAAGGAGAAAGGGAAGGAGAAAGGATGAACAGAAAGGAAAGAGAGAAGGGAAGGAGGGAGAAGAGAAGGGTGCTTTAAGGGGGGCAGATGGACAGAGTTCAGGAACTAAAGGACAGATAGAAGGGATAACAGGAGAGATTTTAAAGAAGGCCATGAGGTGGAGAGATAGTGGAGAGGAATATGTGCCAGGGGGCAGAAGAAGAAAGGGAAGAAGGCAGGGTGAAGGGAAAGGAAAGGGAGAGAGGCAGGGAAGGATAGATGTGGGCCCGAGAGGGGGAGGAAAAGAAAGAAGAGAGGGGGAAGGAAGGAATAAGGAGGGAGGGGGGGGGAAGGAAGGAAAGAAAGAGAGCAGATCTGAGTGAGGCAGGGAGGATCCTGGAAGAGGGGGATCAGTACACCCCGCCCCCCAGAAAAGGGAGGATATTGGGAAACAGTGTTGGGAGAGTGGGTTGCTCTGAGTTTTCCGGGCTGTATGGCCATGTTCCAGAAGCATTCTCTTCTTGACGTTTCACCCACAGAGAATGGTTCTGGAACATGGCCATACAGCCCGGAAAACTCACAGAAACCCAGTGATTCCGGCCATGAAAGCCTTTGATAACACAGTGTTGGGAGACCCTTACTCTGGGATAAAGCAGGGAGGAAGGGAGAGAAGGAAGGAAAGAAAGAAAAGGAAAGAAGGAGGGGGGGGGAGAGGAAAGAAATGAGAAGGAACAAGTGAAGGAATATTGGTTCAATCTCACCTGAAGGACTCAGGGGAAAGGAATGGAAAGGAGAGAAGAAAGGAAGGAAGGAAGGAAGGAAGGAAGGAAGGAAGGAAGGAAGGAAGGAAGGAAGGAAGGAAGGGGAAAGGAAAGAAGTAAAATGCAAGGAAGGAAGGAGGGAAAGGAAAGAGGGAGAGAGGAAGGAAGGAAAGAAGAGAAGGAAAGAAGGAGGAAAGAAAAAGGAAGGAAAGGAGGAGAAAGGGGAGGGAGATAGGGAATAATAATAATAACAATAATAACAATAATAATAATAATAATAATAATAGTAATAGTAATACTTTATTGATATATCATTCTATCTCCCCAAAGGGACTCAGGGAAGCAAACAACAAAGTCAGCAAGGAAGGAAGGAAGGAGCAGGAAAGAAGGAGGGACAAAAAGGGCAGGAAAGGAGGGGAAAGGGGAGGGAGATAGTGAATAATAATAATAATAATAATAATAATAATAATAATAATACTTTATATACTGTCCTATCTCAGCAAAGCGATTCAGGGCAGTGAACAACAAAGTCAGCAAGGGAGGGAGGGAGGGAGGAAAGGAGAGAGGGAGAGAGGAAGGGAAGAAAGAGAAGGGAAGAAGAGGGAAGAAAAAGGAGAGGTAGGAAGATAGGGAATAATAATAATATAATAATAATTTATTTATATACTGTTCTATCTCCCCAAAGGGACTCAGGGCAGCAAACAACAGTCAGCAAGGAAGGAAGGAAGGGAAAGGGAAGAAGCAAAATGCAAGGAAGGAAAGATGGAAAGGAGAGAGGGAGAGAGGAAGGAAAGATGGAGCAGGAAAGGAGGAGGGAAGGAAAAGGAAGGGAAGGAGGGGAAAGGAGAGGTAGGAAGATAGGGAAGAATGATGATGATGATGATGATGATTTATTTATATACTGTTCTTTCTCTCCAAAGGGACTCAGGGTGGTGAACAACGAAGTCAGCAAGGAAAGATGGGAAAGGGAAGAGACAATATGCAAGGAAGGAAAGATGGAAAGGAGAGAGGGAGGAAAGAAAGAGAAGGAAAAGAAATAGGAAGGAAAAAGAGAAGGAAGACAGGGAGGAAGAAAAGGGTGGAAGGAAGGATAAAAGAAAGAAGGAAAGACAAAAGGGAAGGGAGGGAGGAAGAAAAGAATGAAAGAGGGAAAAGTATGGAACACAGGAATACTGCCCCCCCCCAACACAATACACACACAGACCTATCCACAATCTGCATGACCTCTCTCTCTCTTTCCCACTCTCCCCTCCCCCACCATCACACACAAATGCACTTCTGGGACGCGGCATCCTGAGGACCCCCGCCAGTCTCCCTCCCTTGAATTTGGCAGAATTGGAGGCAGGCAGGCAGGCAGGGCGGGTGGGTGAGTTAGGTTTTCCATGGGGAGGGGGGAGGATTGAGGAGCCTGGCTCCCCCGCCTCGTCCTCGCCCCCTCCCACCCCGAAACTGTCACTCCATCCAGCAGCCCCCTCAGCCAGCGCTCCGATCCGCTTTGCCGCCTCCCTCCGGCTTTCCACCCACCCAACCAGATCCCCCCACCTACCCACCCACCCAGCCACCCACTCACCCAGTTTCCCTTTGGAAACATTGCCTCCCCCAACCCGACCCCATCCTGCCCAGACCCTGGACAGAGGAGGATCATTTGACCCCCCAACTCTTTCCTTTCCCTTTCAAGCCCACCTTTCAAGCCCACACCGTCCCACCTCCCTCCCCATCCTTCTCCTCTCCCTCCTTCCCTCCCTCCTCCTTTCTCTTTCCCCGCATCCATTCATCCCTCCATCTCCCATCTCTCCACCTCTCCTTGCCTTCCCCTCTTTCATGTTCTCTCCTTTCCCTTCTCCCTTCCTCTCTCCCTTGCCTTCTCTTTTCTTCCTCTTCCTCTTTCCCTTCTTCTCCTTTCTCCTCCTCTTCCTCGAGCCCTTCTTCCTTTTCCTCCCTCCTTCTTTCCCTCCCTCCTTTCCCCTTCTCTCTCTCTCTATCCTCTCCTTCTCCTTCCTCTCTTTCATGTTCTCTCCCTCCTCTCCCATTCTCTCTTTCTCCCTCCCTCTCTCCCTTGCCTTCTCCTCTTTTCCTTCTTCCCCATCTTCCTCGAGTCCTTCTTTCTTTCCCTTCCTCTTCTCCTTCATTTTCTCTCCCTCCTTTCGCTTTCTCTTTCCCCCTCCCTTCCTCCTTTCCTTCTCTTTTTCCTTCTCCCCCCCTCGCCTTCTCCTTCTCTTCTTCGAGTCCTTCCTCTCTCCGCCCTCCTTTCCCCTTCTCTCTCTCCCTCCCTCCTCCTCTCCCCTCTCTTTCTTCCTCTTCCTCTCCTTCTCCTTCCATTCCCCTTCCTCTCCTTCGTCTCCTCTTCCTATTCCTCTCCTTCTCTTCCTTCCTCTTCCCTTCTCTCTCTCTCCATCCTCTCCTTCTCCTTCCTCTCTTTCGTGTTCTCTCCCTCCTTTCCCTTCTCTCTTTCTCCCTCCCTTGCCTTCTTCTCTTTTCCTTCTTCCTCTTCTTTTGCTTCCCCTTCTCTTCCTCGAGTCCTTCTTTTCCTCCCTCCTCTCCTTCTCTTTCTCTCCCTCCTTCCCCCTCCTCTCTCTCTCCATCCTCTCCTCCCTTCTCTTTCATTTCCTCCTTCCCTCTCTCTGTCCCTTCTCTCTCGGCCAGACACCTTTCCTTCCCTCCTTTCCCCTTCCCTCTCTCTCCATCCCTTCCTTCTCCTTCCTCTCTTTCATTTCCTCCTTCCCTCTCTCTCTCTGTCCCTGGGCCAGACCCCGCTCTGCTGCCTGGCTCTGCCCTGCTGGGCTCTGCCTCTCCTCCTTCCTCCTTCCCCGCTCGCTCCCTCCATCCCTCCCTTCTCCTCCTCCTCCTCCTCTCTGCCTGGAAGCGAAGGATAGGAAATCGATGCCACTTACACCTCCGCGGGAAGAGAGGCGAGAGAGAGAGAGAGAGAGAGGGAGAGAGGGGAGAGAGGGAGCCAGCCAGCCAGCCGGGGGACCAGCCCAGGAGGGGGCTCGCTCGCTCGCTCGCTCAGTCGGTCGGGGGCGCTGCTCTTCCTCCTCTTCTCCTCCTCCTCCTCTTCTCCTCCCCTCCTCCTTTCCTTCCTTCTTTCCTTCCTTCCTTCCTTCCTCCGCTGGGCTCAGGCTGGCAAAAATCGATGGGGTTCGCCGCGCCGGGGCTTCCCCATTGATTGACGCTCCTCCTCCTCCTCCTCCTCCGCGGCGGCGGCGGCGGCTGCCTTCCAACACAATGGAATAATCAATGCGAGAGATTGGGCCCCCTCCCCTCCCTTGCTCTCCCTCCCTCCCTCCGCGCCCCCGCCCTCCCAGAAAGGGGAGGAGCCTCCGGGCAGGTGCAGCCGAGCATGCCGGGAAATGGAGTCCCCAGGCAGAAAAGGGGGCCCTTTCAACAGCCGCAGGCCCAGCACACAAAGCAGAGAGGTGTTACTCTTCGCATTCAGAAAGGATCCTCCTGTATTGGTTTGCTATTGGACCCATGCTATTGCTTGAAAAAAGGAGGAGTTCCCAAAGTGTAGGGCTCATGATCAATAAGACTTATTAGACCTCACAACCTCTGAGAATGGCTGCCACAGATGCAGGCGAAACGTCAGGAAAGAATGGCCATACAACCCGAAAAACCTACAACAACCCTATTATTATTATTATTAGTAGTAGTAGTATTATCTCCAGCTCATCCCCTGTTTGGGTATCAGCCAGCACGTCAATGACTTAAATCTAGAAATAGTTTTCTAAGATCTACAGAGACACTCGCTGGAACACCTCAGCAAGCGAGAGTCCAAAAGTGGCAGGCTCAAACCCAGAACCTCAATCAATGGCTGATACCAAATGAGAGACTCTCCCCTGGGCACACAGAAGACTGGGCAACTTGGAAGGTGCTAAACAGACTGTGCTCTGGCACCACGAGATGTAGAGCCAACCTTAAGAAATGGGGCTACAAAGTGGAATCCACGACATGTCAGTGCGGAGAAGAGCAAACCACAGACCACCTGCTGCAATGCAACCTGAGCCCTGCCACATGCACAATGGAGGACTTCCTTGCGGCAACACCAGAGGCACTCCAAGTGGCCAGATACTGGTCAAATAACATTTAATCAACTACCAAACTCACAAGTTTTGTATTTGTCTGTTTGTTTGCTTTGTTCTGTTAGAAATGTAATATAATTGACTGGCTGCCCTGACACGACAAATAAATAAATAAATAAATAAATAATAATAATAATAATTATTATTATTATTATTTGAAAGGCAGGGAGTTTCAGAAATTTTATTGACTATTCTAAAGCCTTTGACTGTGTGGATCATAATAAATTGTGGCGAGTACTTGGTGGTATGGGCATACCAAATACCTTGTCTCTTTCCTGAGGAATCTGTATAAGGACCAAGTAGCAACAGTCAGAACTGATCCTGGAACAACAGACTAGTTCGAGATTGGGAAAGGCATACAGCAGGGTTGTATACTCTCACCCAAACTATTCAACTTGTATGCAGAACACAACATGCAATGTGCAGGGCTTGACAAATGCAAGGCTGGGGTAAAAATTGCTGGAAGAAACATTAACAACCTTAGATATGCAGTTGACACCACTTTGATGGCCGAAAGCGAGGAGGAGCTGAGGAGCCTTCTAATCAAGGTGAAAGAAGAAAGTGCAAAAACTGGGTTGCAGTTAAACATAAAAAAAAAACAAGATTATGACAACAAGACTTATTGATAACTAGAAAATAGAGGGAGAAAACATGGAGGCCGTGACAAACTTTGTATTTCTAGATGCAAATATTACTGCAGACGCAGACTGCAGCCAGGAAATCAAAAGATGCTTACTTCTTGGGAGGAGAGCAAGGATCAATCTTGACAAAATAGTGAAGAGTAGAGACATCAGACTGGCAACAAAGATCCACATAGTCAAAGCAATGGTATTCCCCATAGTCACCTATGGATGTGAGAGCTGGACCTTAGGGAAGGCTAAGCAAAGGAAGAGAGATGCTTTTGAACTGTGGTGCTGGAGGAAAGTGCTGAGAGTCCCTTGGACCGCGAGAAGATCCAACCAGTCCATACTTCAGGAAATAAAGTCCGACTGCTCGTTGGAGGAAAGGATAGTAGAGTCCAAGATGAAGTACTGACAATGATGCTAGGGAAAATGGAAAGAAAAAGGAAGGGAGACCGAACAAGGGCAAGATGAATGGATGGTATCCTTGAAGTGACTGGACTGACTCTGAAGGAGCTTGGGAAGGTGACGACTGACAGGGAGCTCTGGACTGGGCTGGTCCATGAGATCATGAAGAGTCAGAAGCAACTGAACAAATAAACAACAAACAACAACAAACAAGATCATTATGCTGGCTTTTGTATTCGATCACATGTTGGAAACTTCCCAAGTGTCTAGGACTGTGTGATGTATCGGCAAATAATGAGTGCAGATCCAAGTAGGATGGCCTGTTGCAGCTGACAGGTGGTTATTTCGTCAGTGCTGGTTGTGTTTTAAGTGCAGGCCAAGGTCTTTAGGCACTGCACCCAGTGTGCCGATCACCACTGGGACCCCCTTGACTGGTTTGTGCCAGAGTCTTTGCAGTTCGATCTTTAAATCCTCATATTGTGCCAGCTTTTCCAGTTGTTTCTCTTCAATCCTGCTGTCACCTGGGATTTCAACATCGACAATCCATACTTGGTTTTTTAACACGATTGTGAGATCAGGAGTATTGTGCTCTAAAACTCTTGTCAGTCTAAATTCGGAAGTCCCAGAATAGTTTGACATGTTCATTTTCTGTAACTTTTTCAGGCTTGTGATCCCACCAGTTATTTCTCACAGGCTGATGGTATTTGTGGCACAAGTTCCAATGAATCATCTGAGAAACAGTGTTATGCCTCTGCTTGTAGTCTGTATGCACGATTTTCTTGCAGCAGCATGTGATCTATCATTTCATCTGCTTCCTTACAGAGTCTACACTTGGGATCTGCCATCGACTTTTCAGTCTGGGTTTGATGGCATTTGTTCTCATCGCCTGTTCTTGGGCTGCAAGAATCAGGCCGTCGGTCTCCTTTTTCACAGTTGTTGTTGTTGTTGTTGTTGTTACATCAGTATGGAGTTTGGCCTAGACAAATGTGCCGGAGTGGCATTAAAGGAAGGGAAAATTACTCACAGCGAGGGCATAGAGATGCCAAATGGACAAGCATGAAGTGCAATCAACCTGAAGCCTATAAATATCTGGAAATAACACTTTCAAACCAGGAACAGAAATGTAACAGAAATTGTTACATTGTGTTGTTATTATTATCCATGATCATGGTGCTCTAAGACCAAGAGCAACATACATTGCTATAAAATACATATTATTGCTTAAGGAGTAGGGTTTTTCAAAATTTACAGCTCATGATAATCTATTATTATTGCTATTATTATTACGCCTGGGCAAACTTAGGCCCTCCAGGTGTTTTGGACTTCAACTCCCATAATTCGTAACAGCTCATAGGCTATTAGAAATTGTGGGAGTTGAAGTCCAAAACACCTGGAGGGCCCAAGTTTGCCCAGGCCTGTTTATAACTTCATTTGGCATGGAAAGTTCAGCCTTTTCTGGTATTCTAGGCCAGTGTTTTGAACCTGGGGGTCGGGACCCCTGGGAGGGTTCCAAGGGGGTCTCAGAGGGGTCATTAAAGACCATCAGATAACACAGTATTTTATGTTGGTCATGGGGGTTCTGTGTGGGAAGTTTGGCCCAACTCTCTCATTGATGCGGTTCAGAATGCTCTTTGATTGTAGATAAACTATAAATCCCAACAACTACAACTCCCAAATGTCAAGGTCTATTTTCTCCAAAATCCACCAGTGTTCACATTTGGGCATATTGATGATTTGTGCCAAGTTTAGTCCAGATCCATCACTGTTTGAGTCCACAGCGCTCACTGGAAGTGGGTGAACTACAACTCCAAAACTCAAGGTCAATGTCCACCAAACTCTTTCAGTATCTTCTGTTGATCATGGGAGTTCTGTGTGCTAAGATTAGCCCAATTATATTGTTGATGGAGTTCAGAATGCTCTCTGAATGCAGGTGAACTATAAATCCCAGCAACTACAACTCCCAAATGTCAAGGTCTATTTTCTCTAAAATCCACCAGTGTTCACATTTGGGCATATTGAAGATTCGTGCCAAGTTTAGTCCAGATCCATCATTGTTTGAGTCCACAGTGCTCTCTGGATGTAGGTGAACTTCAACACCCAAACTCAAGGTCAATGCCCACCAAACCCTTCCAGTATTTTCTGTTGGTCATGGGAGTTCTGTGTGCCAAGAGTGGCCCAATTATATTGTTGATGGAGTTCAGAATGCTCTCTGAATGCAGGTGAACTATAAATCCCAGCAACTACAACTCCCAAATGTCAAGGTCTATTTTCTCTAAAATCCACCAGTGTTCACATTTGGGCATATTGAAGATTCGTGCCAAGTTTAGTCCAGATCCATCATTGTTGAGTCCACAGTGCTCTCTGGATGTAGGTGAACTACAACTCCAAAACTCAAGGTCAATGCCCACCAAACCCTTCCAGTATCTTCTGTCATGGGAGTTCTGTGTGCCAAGAGTGGCCCAATTCTATCATTGGTGGAGTTCAGAATGCTCTTTGATTGTAGGTAAATGATAAATCCCAGCAACTGCAACTCCCAAATGACAAAATCAAACCCCACCAGTATTCAAATTTGGACGTATTGGGTATTTGTGCCAAATTTGATCCAGTGAATGAAAATCCACCCTGCATATCAGACATTTACATTACGATTTATACCAGTAGCAAAATTACAATTATGAATTAGCAACCAAAATAATGTTATGGTTGGGGGTCACCACAACATGAGGAACTGTATTAAAGGGTCGTGGCATTAGGAAGATTGAGAACTACAGTTCTAAGCCTAAGAGCACCATGATCTTCAAGAATCCATTCTGGACATTATCATTACCATTAATGCATACTCTACATTTCCCTCTATTATGGGACTCCAAGCAGCAGGCCAAATGCAAAAACCAATGCTGATTCAAAACATCCGTTAAAAAACCTCCTACAGAGATAGAGAGGGAGGTTATTTTTAAACGCAATTAAACAATCCATAGAATTAAAACCATTTAGAAAGTCATTAAGAGGTAGAATATAAATGTCAACACAGCAGCGCACCGCTAAAAGCCCAATGCAGTCAATTCCTAAAATCGGGGAGGGATTAAAACATTTCACTCATTGGCTTTTATTGATGGGATTGTTGTTGGCGCTGTCCAAGGTCCTGAGT